TACATTGTAGTTTACTAGGGGGGGATGTATCATTGAATATTGACAGGGGGCCAGGTCACGCCTGAGTAGCCCTTGACAACCACTTTGGCTTCAGGCCTCAGTCTGGGAGACCTTTTCCCAGTGGTTACGTTTAGGTCCAGGTCCGTCAAAAGGCATTTGTAAAAGATGACAACCGACAGCCACACAAAACAGTTCAGTCTAGCGTGAGGTATTCTGGGCAGAAGTGAGGTCTCGTAAAATGGTATTCTGGGCAGAAGTGAGGTCTCGTAAAATGATAAAGTGGCAAGTTTCATGGGCGTCAGGGACAAGCACCAGAGAGCCGCCGAGGGCACAAATTTGTTTGAGCACACAAAAAATGTTTGCTTAGCAAAAACGGGTTACTGGCCAACATGTGGTACATGTACAGTGTGTGTACTACTGGTGACTGTTTTCCACCTGAAATTGGTCTGAGAAAAATGTTGCTTGGCGGCATTGTCTGCTTCACGAAATTTGGCCCAGGCTTTTATGTCCACTGTTCGAAAAACCAAATCAGTTGCACAGCAGGGACACTAGCCAACCCTGGAAATTAGGTAAAACCTGTAAATGTCTTTACTGTTTGCCAGTCAGGGAAAAAATGGGAGTTGGAGAAAAATGCTCAAATCTGGCAAAAGTCAGGGAATTCAATTTGACTTAAAAGAGAGAGTGGTCTGTCAGTTATTTTGTGCATGACTGACATGTCTTCAGTACCATTAAAGACATGTCAAACTCGAGGAAGTGTTGGGCTAACATCCCGGAATTTCGAAAAGTCATCAGGAAAAATCAGAACACCCATTATAGGAAAGTAATGTTTGCTTGCTCAAACATGGCACAAAGCCCGCTATCTGAAGTAAACCTGGCTGGAAAGTACAATATGTTTTTGTCGGCCTTACTCAATCCTAAAAAATCCTGCTATGTTTAAGTTCCTGAGGGATTTTGAGGGATTCACGGGAACTTGGAGGATTTTTTTTTGGGGGGGGGGGAGATCTAGGAGGGTTTAGAGGTAAACACACTGACTCCGCTGACTTTCACCCAGCCCACTAGAACGTTGTAAAGTTCAAAGCCCCATCTGTGCCTTTTCACTGTAGTGCACGCACCTTGCCAGTGATAGCCAGGGGTTAACAGGTTCAGAAAGAAGGCTTTAGATTACCACGGCAACAGTACACAAAGGCCCCGACTTTTCTTTGTCATCAGATATTCGGAATGCTGTCCATGTGCGTCCTAGTTTCTGTTGCAGGTCGCTCACTGCACAGTCGTGGTCTTGCCAGGCGCTTTGGAATCAGAGCAGTGCAGTTTGTATTCTAATTGAATTTAGCAGCCACATTTCAAAGAGTATTCCATACAGTTTTGCCTACATGTACTTGGCTTCATGAATACTCCGTTTAATAATTGTGAGGAAGTATGAACAGCCGTCCAGTAGAAATGTGTCATGTTTTTCATCTGCATGTACATGGATACCGTTATTTATTCAGTTTTCCTTAATGCAATAGAAGGAGAGTAACATTATACGGTGCTTTTTGTTTGAAATAGACTTGGCAGGTTCCTCAAAATATGGACCATAAGATAATGTTCAACTTTAGGGGTTCATATTTCCTGAAGAGAACAGCAGTGAATTCACTCACGATGTCTGATGTAATGAGGGAAGTCATGGCTGATATTTGAAACATTTATGACTATGTCCATCTTTCAACTTAATTGGAATTATTAAAGTCTTGAATGTCAGCATTTTTGACGGACGCGAACAACCTGTTGAAACCTGCCAATTAAAATTTACCAAGGAGTGATAATCCCCACGGTTATTTTACACAGATTTATATGTGGTAAAAGGTGATAATATTTACACCATAATCACGAAATTAAAAAAACCTCTCACAATTAATCGGGTCCCGAGTCGGGAGTCGCAAACGTCTTTCGATTCTGTCATTAGTGTCAAAAAATTGACAGCAAAAAACAGTGAGTAAAATCAAAATCGATGTACAACACAAGCTTTAAAAAAGAGTGCACAAAGGGACAAAACCATCATCATTTTACGACTGGACTGATCACATTTTCTTCAAGTACATTTTCGAAAACCACAGTCCAAACATATTGTGCCAATTTTGCGGCTTCCGTCATTATCTCGCGGTGCTGTTAGAGAAACGTTTCACTGCATCGTGGCCTGTTTGACCTTTGACATCAACCCCGATAGTGTGCCCTCTTTTTCATTCGATATTCATGAGCCCCTCGGAGCGGCGACGCTTCAGGATTTTTCTTTTCTGACAAAGGTTTCTTGAAAAAAAATCAGTCATACTGAATGACGTTAAAAAAAAATGACGTCCCAGACACAAAATACGATTCATGACGAAAATCTAATGCGTTGAGTTAATAATATCAATGTAATTTTCAGCGGGGATATCTCCAAAGTAAACGACAAAATGAATATCGCGCATGGGATTTTCGAGCACTACATGTGACAGCATTTTCGGGAAATTCTCGAATGTCCTGCATTTTTTGTCAAAATTCTTGAACGTCATCAAATATGTCGTTCACAACAAACTTATTATATTCATTATACATTTTTGATGCAGCCAAACTTAAAGATTATTTTCGATGGTTGAAAGGTATAAGACCTGGCAAATATGCTGGTATAGTGAGAGTGATTGTAAATGGTAAGAGAAAGAAGACAGCCAAACTTTTCTCATCATTTTCCGTCGATTTTGAGCTCTTTTTTTTTCGTGACTTATATTTTTTTAAAGTTATTTCTTAGGTGCTTTAGAATATATCAGTTGAAAAATAAACTGAATTCTCCTTGCTGTTGAGAGAAGTTTTGAAATCAAGTACAAACACTTTGACGTAAAAATTTTAAATGAATTCAACCACATTTGATTGGCACTGGTAGCCAACCAAATGTACACAGTATGCCTAATTATCCCCAAATAATCATTTTTATAAATCCGAAGAAGCTAATTTGTATTTTACATGATCAAAGTCACTCTTTTAGAAGTTTTGAAAAATTACATACGGAGTTGCATTTTAGTCCATTTTATGAAGAACATGCTCTGGAAGTTTCTGGAATCTGCACCGTCCAGAAGCAAACAATGTATGGAGCCATATAAAGTTTTTAAAGGGGGCTACCGGTACAGGGCGACTAAAATATGCCATATCGAAGAAGATACAAAAAATAGAACAATTACTCATACTGCGACCTACGTATGTACCGGTAAATGTGTACGAAACCTGCTGGAGTAACAACTTTACAAATTTATTTCCTTGTGTCCTGGAATGAGAAAAGGTTTAAATTCAGTGCACGCATTGCATAGAGAATTTTTCAGTTGATATACGCTGGATAATCATCCAGGGTATAATGTGAATTATTGGTTTGCTGTATGGAAATTCAGACATTTCTCTCTTTCAGTTTGAAAAGCTGAGGTCGTAGTGCTTGATGGTTCCACGCAGAATTATTGTTTACCCTTTTGTCACTGTCTCTGTGTTGTCAGCATTTCGCAGTGCTGAAGTTACGTTTGGTGCAGTTTTCTAATTCACACTGCAATCATGCTGAGTGCTGAACCTTTCTCGCAGGTGTTATGGTCATGTGTAAACCATTTATGTGTCTCCTATGATCATGCGTGGCTTCACTCTTGACACTGTAATGAGATTCCTATAATATTGATGTAGCAATTACCAAAGCTGTGTGTTTCTGCGATTGTTACAGTTGAATTTCTGTGGTTTTTAAACAGACAATAAATCATCTTAAAACTTGCTTCTTGAATTTGAGAGGCATGTGAGTAACACTAGTACAGCACATGTTTGTGTACATGTAGTTATATACACATGGGCGTCACCAGGAGATTTTTCGGTGGGGGACAGAGCTCATCAGCAGTAAACCAATAAGCTATCAGTAGTTGAAAAGGGCCAATTCCAAGGTGTTTTTTTTTTACAAATTGGTCACCTTAATCTCCTTCCCTCTTTTTTTTTTTGTTTCTTGTCCATTTTGTTTTAATTTTTTGTGGGGGGGGACTGTGCAAACATTTCTGTCACAACATCCGTATATATTTGCATAAGTGAATCTATAAAAAATGCACGTGTACACAAGCATATGTGTGATTGTGTAATTCAGTAAAATGACCTGGGTGTTGCCAGAGCCATGTTTAAATCAGAGACCCTCAATCTGACAAGCTTTTGTTGGATCAGTGGGAAATGCAACCTTTTATCGGTTCTGTATAGGATTCAAAGTGGAGTGGTGTCATCAGAGAGCTGCATGTATTGGGAAAAAATCTACATGCACCGGTACACGCATTGAGTGAAAGCGTTTCTGTTAAAGAACATGTTGTTGTACACGTACGCACATGGCCCGACTTCGGTTTTCAAGTTGTTTGTTGAAACAAATGAAGTCCTTCTCACAGACGGATCATGCCAAGGCCAAATGATCAAATCATGAAAAAAATCCCCCCGAAGATTTTCTTTTGAACATCTTACATGTAGTACCCGCCCAATCTACAGGTGGTGCACAAGCACATGTACAATGTATGGAAGGGAATCAAGTTGGTGTAGTGGCTCTTTCTTCGGCTTCCACCTCTGCGGTCTGGGTTTGAATCTCACCTGTGGAGTAGGTCGGCATGTGGATTGGGTTTTCAGTCCCTGTCTGATTCCGTGGGTTTTACCTGTCAGAATATTTATCCAGGGTGTTCCTCCCACCTCTAAAACTGAATAAATCTTCACTGTCTTCGTAATTGTCACTTCATGCCGTAATTGGTGCTAAATGTGCTGTTTGATGAACAGACACAAGTATATATATATAAAAATAAAATGAATAAAAGGAAGCACGTACTGTACACCACTGTACATTGTACATGTACATGTAGCGGGCTATGGATGAGACTCTCAGATGCACCTGCAACCTTTTTTTCATACCAGTGCTAGCATGAATGCAAGATTTCTGAGCTCTTTCTGGTGGTTCAGTCAGTCCACAGTTAATTACCATCTTCACCTCTTTCCTTGTGTTGCAGTGCATTTGAGGTACAAAATCAAAGCCAAGAAACTAGCAGCACTCCAGGACGGATAGCTCACCCGAACCACTTTAATGCTCATCTGAGTGTCACGCCTTGGCAGCCTCGAGGGAGGCAGAGAACCGTACAGGGAGAAAGAATAGGATGTGCGCGTGGGTGTCGCCTCCAGTCTGTCCAGCACCCTAGGTGATACATGTATGTCCCTGTCCGATGACCATGGAGAGTCCGGACAGTGTTCTGTCTGCGATAAACCGCTCATTGCAGGACGGATGGCAGGCTAAGCTCAACCAGGATGGTCGATTGTTCTACACGGAGTAAGTACAATGCACCATGTACAAGCATCTTGTTAATGTATCCTTGTACTTTTTTCACCCCATAACCCTTCCACATCATTCCAATTATGCTAGGAGGTTTTTAAGAATACTGAATCTGATTGTCTTTCTTTCTTTTTTGTTTTTTTACTCCTTGCTGGGCAGCAAGGAATAACGTACATCTACATTGAAAAAAAGCAAACCTACATGTATATGTACACGTGTGTACCATTGGTTTCCTGTGTATCGGTTGAGGATTTTGGGACAATGTGGGAAATTTGGAAGGTTTACTGAAAACAGTTGTTCAAAGTAATCAGAGCCAATTTTCCCAGTGTGAATTTTGACTTTCACTCCAACCACTCCCTCCAGTTCTAATTAGCTGGTTGGAGAACCCTCTGTGACCTCATGTAAAATGCCTGGCGATCATGAAAATTGCTTTCACAGCTAGTTGTCAGTTTATTCCGTAATGTCCACAAGGCATGCAAAAAACATAGCATCCATTACTCACCCGCCGCTTGAAGGAAGCAGGTGCGTCGGTGCGCCGTTAAAAGCCTTGGCATTTGGCAATTTTTGAATTATCTGTTTTTTTTTCCCGGTTAATTTTGTCCCGTGTCTTATCAAATCTGCACATCAGTAACTAGGTAGTGCTCTTGGTCATAATAAAGTTTGCGAGGTGAGGCCGTCTTCCATACAAGAAAAAGAAATTCCTCGGGACACAATCATGACAGATCAAATCACAGATCAATAGCCCTCATGCACATGTAACCTTGGACAATATGCCCCTTGACTATAAAACTGTTCCGTGTACACTGTACAGTTTGCTTAATTAATCAAATCTTGTTCAAGACAATTTTAATCTGAATTTGGACACGGTACTGTATGTTGTAAACCTTGACCCTACGAATGGGTTATTTGGACACAAAACCTTGACGCTTCAGACTAATTATTAATTCTATTTGGAAATAGGAAAGTACATTTAATTGATTCATGTGTAGGCAAGAGAGTCTGCTTTCAACCACCTTCAAGCTGGCCTTACTGAAAAGAATTTTGCTTGTCAGTTACTTGTACATGTATTTCCTTCCGATTAATGTGGTGGAAATAAGTTGTTTAGAAAAGGGGAAAAGAGCTCTTTTCATGTGTATTGTGTTTTCCAGAAGACAGTCTTCTTCTTGGAGGGCTTACATGTACATGTAATTGATCGAGACTTCCTTTCTCAGTAAAATCTCCTTTTCAAACCACGGCCTGTTGTTTGTAGAATGAGGGAGAACAGACGAGCAAGATGGAAATGAAGTCCATACTGGTAGTTCACATTTAAATTGTGCTGAAATACATACACTGTACAGTATTCATAATAGCAAAAACAAACCGAACCGAACAAAACAAACAGAAGAAACATGAAAACCAAACCAAAGAAAAAAATGTGCAGTCGTGTTCTCTGGTTAGGGCATAAACCTAAAACATCATAGAACCTGTATCATGTTAAAACAATTTATTGAAAATAAAAACATGTACATGTACTTATGGTGCTGACTTAGAACCCCATTTTTGTACATGATGCAGTGCACTGGATAATCAAGTAATTAAACACTACAGTTATACATGTACATGTACATATGTATTACAAAGTCTCACTTTTGCAAAGTTCATGGCAGAAATGCTTTGATGTTCAGAGTCTCCTTACAGAACAGAAAGTACAGTGCATGTAGCTGTTTATTTTATTAGAAATACACATGTACATATGTAAATAGTAAAAAATAGTCATGTTTGTCAGTTGCGTTGTTATTTTGTGTTTTGGATCATATTCAACTCAGGTCAGCTGTCCATTATGAACAGAATGAAAAATGGAATTGGTTTCACATTCATCGCAAATGCTGATGTCAACTGAAAATGGAAGTTCTGGAAAACATGAGCCAAGCACTTCATCCATACGGAGTGGAAATGTATTTATTTAGTTTTCAGTATAAGACCATACTTTGAGGCTTTAATTCACTCAATGAACTTTACCAAAGGGCTGCTTTTGTGCGTGTACCATACACGTAGATTTCTCGAATTGTGGGCAGTGCTGGAGTACTGTATACAAAAGCAATGTTATGTGTATAGCTTGCTTCCAAATCTCAACTGGTCCCCGCCCCAGCTGAAGAAAAGAAAACTACAGGTGTCCTGGTGAACTTGGTAAACTTTCCACAATGGTAATTGAAAAGGAGGCCACCAGATGAGAGGAATCAGTTTTAGTTTGAATTGATTTATCACCGTTGCCTTAAAAAGTACGCGTACATGTAGATGGAGAGCTGGAATCCACCACGGTCTGATGAACTTGGTTTATGGAACAGGTGTTCAAAGACAGTTGAATAAACCTGAGAGTGTATCGGTACACGTGCCTGAAACAGCCCCCTTCTTTGGACAGCTAGGCCTGTCTCCTGAGCGGAACCTGGCTCTCCCCCATGGCCGGATGGACTGATTCTAAGAGCATTTTTCTCAAAAGGTTCTGCTGAGATTACATGTACCGGTGTTTCACTCCTGGCAGGAATAGACAATTTTATGTCTGACAAATTATCGATTTTTCGATGAATCCGAAGAACCGATGCTTGTGTGAAATCACATTCGGACTAGAGACTTCCTTTGAGCCTTCGGCTCACTTGTCACAACATTCAGATTCTCCATTTACATGAGACCCTTTGATTTGTACACACACGGCACAGTTGTCCCACTTATGACATATGAATGTGTGTTTGTTCATGTACATTAATGTACAAATACCTTAATTTTAATGCGTACAAATGTACATGTAGTGGTCTCTTTCCGGTGTTGTTTGCTAAAGTTACATTAATTTGGCTGTTGGGTGGTTGCTTCAACACTCGTGACCAGTCCTGGGGATGTTGTCAAATGCAAAATTACATGTGTACCCGCATTGCCCTGCCATCGGCAGCAAATGATTGAAGTTGAATTACCGTACCCAATCACTCTCAAAAGGGATTCTGAGTGTCAAGGTTCGGGGCAACCTCTTGGTGAATGCACTGGGCTTCCTCGTCAGGACAAACCGATCAATTTCACGGGAATTGGTCAACTTATAGTAACATTCTCCTGAATGGTAGATTGTGCCGTGGCTGGGCAGGTAATCCGATAAACCCAGTTGGTGTTATTAAGCGGTGTGGGACAAGTTGAGACGGACAATCTCTACAAGGCCGGCATTGTTGTACCGGTAGCAAGTGTGAATGACTTTGTAACTGAAGAATTAACCAGAGATTGATCCGATTGAAATAGAGTTGGTACATGTGTGCTTTACAAAGGCAATGCAGGGTTTCTGTTGAAACCATATTGCTGATGTACAATGTACATGTACGGTACTCGTACCTTTAATCTAAAGTATGAATTGTGTTATTTACTTGGCCATCAATGTTACTTTACAATGAAACATACTGATATGCTATACATGTATGTACAAATACATGTACTTATCCCATATGTACATGTACGGTGCATTAATTGTACATGTCACTGCACTGATTAATTTTGCGTACAATTCTGTGCAACCTTTACTGTTTCTTACCTGATTTCAGCATTGTTTTTTTTTTTAGTTACCAGTAAATTTGTACATGTATTTAATGTATGAAATGTTCAGTTGAATTTGTGTAATATTGTATTCCATGTAAACTGTACTGTACATGTGCAGTACATTGTCGTCCACAAATTCAGTGTTCGAATTAAATATTGTCTCACTTTTGTTTTTCTTAGAAATGTACCGTTTAGAGTATTGCAAACAAGAATTACATGTAAATGATACCATACAGCCATGTGATCACTCCATGGTTGTCAGTACATTTACATGTTCGCCACAATTATCAGTACATTCACCCCTATTAAAGCAGTGTAGTCACACTTCTGATTCCCAGCTCTAAAATCCATTCAGTTTGATGCTCGGGCAAATTTAGGGCCTGCTTGTTTCACGCGGATCTGGATCACGATCAGTGATCTGTTGTTGGTTCACGGACACCGGAACCCGCCCGATGGATAGTGGGAACCAGCTCTGGCATCACCGATCGCAATCCAGATGTGTGTGAAACAAACAGGTCCCCGGGCCAAGCCCACTACCGGTACACTGAGTGTCTGGTCCTCGGTCCTTGCACCCAACCATGATCGCAGCGAGCAGACTCCTTGCAGTTAATGATTAAAGTGGGTGTGTTTCAGGTATGCATGTTGCCATGCACATTGTTGCCTATGAAGCCTTCTGTCTCGGGGGATTTTTGCTCCTCCCTTCTGATTGGCTATCTTTGCTCCTTTTTTTCTTATGGATGCATGACAGTGGCTAACGGCAGTTGAACGAGGCCTGATCCAGTTCCATTAGCTTAATTCAATTTCCTAATGGACGTTATTGGTTTATCTTGGCAGCAACTACACAGTGTCAGTGTTTTTGAGGGAAATGTTGCAGAAAAGGCAAAGGTTGTTATTGTTTTTTTTTGGACCAGAATTTCATGCCATGCTACTGGTAGTTACAGGTACATGTACAGTACATGAAGGTGGCCATGAAGCCATCAGTGCACCCCCCCCCGGTTGTGTTCTGGTGGGATGTATTTTATTTTATTCTTGTCTTACTTCTGTTCAGAACCGGCTTCATGTATTTGACAATTTAAAAGACAGGAATCATGCGTGCACACAGGCATGACAGGCTTAGGAGAGACATGTGCGTCTAGCTTCCTCCACACGAATGGAGCCACGGATTCAAACAGATGCCATTGTGGCAACCTTCAAATTATCCATCACACCGCAGCAAATCCCTAGATTTCAGCCCTTGAATCGGTGTATAGGGACTCATTGATCTTGGCGATGCCATTCACACGTAATTACAGGCAGCAATGTGACCATTACGACTACTTGTTGATACATAAGATGGACCGAACTTGTCACTTAAATAGGTATCTCTCCTGGGTTCAACTCCATTGGCCCCCACCCCTTTGTTGTACCGGTACATGTACTGTAAGTGCTGGATCCAGTTGATCCATCACTGA